TGCTACCTCCGGTCTCACAGCCTGATATTTTTGTAATCTATTTGAATAATTTCTTAAAAACTAATAGCTCTTGTTTTGAAGAAATACATTTATAAAATTCAGCAGTTCTTTCAGTTTCATTTCATTTTTTTTGCCTGTCAAATCCAAGTTAAATTAAGTAGAATAATTTTTAAAAGAGTAGTTACCGACGCTGCCTCTGGGTAGTAGAACTGGAATGATCTCAATGTGTTTGTATGTGTGTGTACCGTATATGAGGTTGACCCTTGAACGATGCAGGGGTTAGGATTGCTGATCCCCTGCACAGTCAGAAATCTGTGTATAACGTTTGACTCTCCAAAAACATGGCTACTAATAGACTATTGTTGATTGGAAGCCTTACATAAACAGTTGCTTAACATATATTTTGTATGCTATATGTGCTATATACTATATTCTTTCAATAAAGTAAAGAAAAATATTAAGAAAATCCTAAAGAAGAGGAAGTGGATTCACTATTCATAAAGTAGAAGTGGATCATTATAAAGGTCTTCGTCCTTCTTGTCGTCTCATTGAGTAGGCTGAGGAGGAAGAGGAGGGCTGTTTTTGCTGTCTCAGGGGCAGCAGAGGCGTAAGAGGTGGAGAAGGCGCGGGGGGAGGCAGGAGAGGCAAGCACACTTGGTGTAATTTAATGGGAATACGTGGTAATTTCTGTCTGACTTTTTTGCTTTCTCATTTCTCTAAAAACGTTTCTATATGGTGCCAATTCTTCCACTGTTTGCTTTAGTTTCGATGCCCGTATTACAGAAGGCTCCATGTTATAAAAGAAGTTAAAAGCAGTCTTGAATAACTGGAACCCTTCTGCTGTATTGTCTGATGTCAGTATGTTTCCTGGCTTAACTTCTACGTCATCTTCCTCATTGTCTGGCATTGGTTCAGAGATACTCACCTCCATCAGCTTGCCTTCTGTTAATGCCTGTGGTATGGCGTCTATTAGCTCTTAAATTTCTCCAAGATCCGGATCTTGAAACCCTTCAGCCTCCACCTATTTTTTTTCTTTTGCGCTATCCACAATCTCTTTCCAATTTCCTTGATTGGTGCTTTTGTCACTCTTGTGAAGTCATGCACAACATCTGGACACAGTTTCTTTTCCAGGAGAAATTTGTTTCAGGGTTGATGGCTTTCATGGCTTTTTCTATGACAACAATGGAATCTTCATTGGTGTAAGCCTTCCAGACATTTGTGGTGTTCTCTATCGGGGTTCTCTTCCATTGCACTGACAAATCTTTTCCATAGGGTACTGTGTGTAATAAGCTTTAAGGGTCTGTATGACCCCAGATCTAGAGGCCGAATTGGAGATGTCGTGTTCAGTCACAAGTGGACTACTTCAGTGCTCTTGGTGTTGAACTCATGGGGTTCTGGGTGGTCAGTGGCATTGTCCAACATCAAAACAACGTTAACAGGCAGTTCCTTACAGGCAGGGTACTTCCTGACTTCAGGGACAAAGCATTGATGAAACCAGTCCAGAAAAAGGGATCTCGTCCAGGCTTTCCACATCCAAAAGGCTGGCAGCTGGTGTTTCTCTTTTCCCTCCAAACCTCAGGGTTAGCGGCTTTTAGATAAGATCTGTTTACAAACTCTACTTGTGGATGCAGTTCATCCGCAAGTTTTTTCAAATTGTCATAAACCTCTAAAAATTCTCCAACCGATTTATTGGAAAACAAATCTGTGTCTAAAAGTAGAGCCATGCAGATGAAACTCATGGTGTTCAAAGGTCAACTGCTAATGATTTTCTCATTTTTCCTCCAAGAATATGTACTGCTCTCATAACTGGATAAAAGACCATACAATTTAAAAAGAAAGATAGAGAAAGTCCTTTTGAATGCCCTCGCTTTCCACTAATCATTCTCCTCATACTTGCAAACTCATTTTTAAAGGAACTTACCTTTTCTGGGATAGCATGCATAGCTTTGCATGTTGGGTACACCTGTCTACAAGATCTTTAGTTTCTCTAAGATAGGGCCTGGGTCTCTCCATCATTTCCATTCTTCTGGTCCAACTCAGCTCGGCCTCCAGCTTCCCCTGCTGGAGGGGGTCCTGAGCAGATGCAGAGTCCCTTGCTCCCCGCGCCCTCTCATAGGTGCCCTGCAGGGGGCAAGGGAGAGGGGTAAGTAGCAGGTTCTGGCCTGGGGAAGTGTGCTGATGAGAACCCGCATTGCAGGAGATTAATGTTCTCTAAACCAGCTCTTAGATTTTTGAAGTTGCATTGCGTATAAATGAAAGGCTTGCATGCTTACTTACGTGTTGAATCAGTGCAATAAACAAAATGGTCAAATGGCAGAAATAGACTAACCTCTCCGTCTCTTCCCATGAACAGTATTTGTGGGAACAAAGCCGTTTTTGGAGAGTGGATCAAGTAATTTATTGGTAGAGGTTTGGGACATTGTCTCAAGGGACCGAAAGGATAATGCACATAGGAAATGCTGATATTATCAGGAAAAAAGAAAAAGCCTTTTATTGAAAGGAGAGCTGTTCATCATTTGATTCCTCCCCCATGAACCTCAGACCCTTCTCACAGCACATGTTCTTGCAGAGGAGGAAAGCCCTGAAAGGGCGAATGAGAGCAGAAAGTGGGAAGGGAAGAAATGGGGCCCTAGGAGCTTGAGATGAGGGTGAAACCCCCAGAGGCAGGAAGTGCTTCAATTGTACAATGAGTCGTGCAGAGTAAAATTAGGTCTGGGCTTCCGTTTCCTTTCTTTGCCTCCAAATCCTGGCGTTTGCATGATTTTTGTCTAGGTCGTGCTTGTAGTATCTTTATTCCAAAGAGGCAAGGCTGTTTCTGATATCGTCACAGGCCCTAGCATGCGTACTGTTGGAAGGCTAACACATTAGAGTACGCATGCATCCCCAATTAAATATAACTTTTGTTGATAAATGTTTTGTTGAGATATTATGGTGATTCATGTGAAATCGCCATTTGTAAAGGTGAAAAATGGCCAGATATTAGCAGTTTCATACTGTTCAATGTAATGGCTTTTTGTTTGTTTGTTTTTTGAGGCAGGGTCTCACTCTGTCACCCAGGCTGGGGTGCAGTGGTGCTATCCCGGCTCACTGCAGCCTCAGCCTTCTGGGCTCAAGCAATCCTCCCACCTCAGCCTCTCGAGTAGCTGGGACTACAGGTATGTGCCACCACACCCAGCTAATTTTTAAAAATGCTTTGTGGAGGGTGAGGTCAGAGGTCTCGCTTTTTTTGCCCAGCCTTGTGTTGAACTGGCTTCAAGCAGTCCTTCAGCTTACTGGCCCCCCAAAGTGTTGGGATTACAGGCATGAGCCCCTGTACCCAACCCTAATGACTTTGCCTTTGAAATTATTTGGCTGTAAGTGCTGCATTTAACTTACAATTTGCTATTATTTGTCAGCATCCATTACATATGGGCTGGAATTTATGTAAACTGAGAAATTCTAACCTGCAGATTGTGATTAGAGGTAATGACATCTTCAATGTTCAAGAGTACTAAATCAAACAATTAATGGAGTTCATATAATGTGGCATCTGTAAACATTCCATTAAACATTTATTCACTAGAGGCTCATCATTGTTTTTTTATTCTGGAGCTGTTGCAGGTTGGCTTCCTAAGGAGTTTCTGATGGAGAGATTAATGTGCCGGAGATTTATTAGTGGGGATACCAGGGTTAGCGCCTGTGGGGGAAGGAAAGTCAGTCAGATTGTTCAGGGGGAGGAGCTGGGCCACAGTGTATTCCTGACTGATGACTGGCCTCTGCAGCCCTTTAAAGAGCTTGGAGCTAGGATGGCCCTTCTGTCATAGATCAGGCTGCCCTGGGAAGGGGGCGTAACCCAGGTGGGGCAGCTGTCTTCAGGTAAGGGCAATTCCAGAGCAGGCTGGCAGTTGAGGGCTGCTAGCCAACATTCCCAGCAGCTTGGGGGACAGATCCTGCAGTCCTGCTGGGGAGCTGGGTGGCAAAGTCGAGCTGCCTATTTTTTAAAGGATTTTGTTAATCCCCTAGCACTGGGTCTGAAGGACCCATGGAATCAAATGGCTCTGTTGGGAAAAGCCGACAGTGCTTGAGGCGTGGGTTAGGGGGAGAAAGGCTTTAAAGCAGACGTAAGAGAAAACAGGACCGTGTTGGGCAAGGTGAGGTTTGTGGGTAGATGTCAAGTAGAGAGCTCTGGACAGGAGTCAGGAATCCTAACGGGTTCTCAAGCTCCTATCAGCGCTCAGGTTACATCCCCGACCAGACCCTTGGTGCCTCCCTTGTGAACCCAGGGGATGAGGCAAGACCTGGTGACTCCCATCTCTCCTCCTGTTCCTGGACACAGTAGCACTCTAAGTCTCATCTTTTGTTTTGCTTTGTTTTTTTCAAGACTGAGTCTCGCTCTGTCGCCTAGGCTGGAGTGCAGTGGCGCCATCTAGGCTCACTGTAGCCTTTGCCCCCTGGGTTCAAGTGATTCTCCTGCCTCAGCCTACTGAGTAGGTGGGACTATAGGGGCACACCACCATGCTTGGCTAATTTCTGTATTTTTTTTTAGTAGAGTCGGGGTTTCACTGTGTTGGCAGGCTGGTCTCAAACTCCTGACCTCAAGTGATCCTCCCATCTCTGCCTCCCAAAGTGCTGGGATAACAGGTGTAAGCCACCATGCCCAGCCCCAGTCTCATCTTGATGGCTCCCACATGGAGCAAATTATAGTTCCTAACCCACCCTTTGAAGGGCTAAGAAACTCAGAAATGATTCAGATTTCAGTGAGGGAGTTTGTGAACCTTCTCCTGTCCTTGCTCTGACTCCTGGGTATTGGTGGGGGCAGAAACCAGCGGTAAGATCCAAGCCAGGCCACTTGATGAAGAATCATGCCTATTTCTCCTTCCTCTCTCTCACAGTCCTCAGGAGGCACAGGTATGACTGAGACACTCCAATTGATTCCTGAGCCGCAGGCACAGATCACAGAAGGAAAGGAAGAGAACAGGGAGGGGAGCCAAGAGTTAGAAAACCAGGGACTTCACTACCAGGCCCCCTTATTTTGCGGCACATACACCAACACTGGAATGAGGCCAAGAGATTAGTATGGCCCCTGTGCGAGGAGAACATGAAAATTCACGAAGCGTTTCATATTTTTTTCAGGGGCTGGTAAAAAAAATTCTGGAGATGGATAGTGATGAGGGCTGAACAACAACACTGTGAATGTACTTAATGTCATTTAACTGTACAGTTAAAATGGCTAAAATGGTCAATTTTCTTATATTTTACCACAATTTTAATAAACAAATAAACATGACCCCAAGAGATAAAAGGCTACATATAGATATCATAAAGAGTAGCAAGCTGTGAAGTGAAAGTCACACAATTACATTAATGATGTCAACTATAGCCAGAAGCAAAGCAAATCTTGAAAGCCCTGTGCAAGCCCTCAGTCACTGCATATACCATGATGTAAGTTCAGAGTATTAGAATGAGCAGGCTCAGATGTCCTCTGGGTTCAAAGCCCAGCTCTACCACTTCCAAGCTGTGTGACCTTGGACAAGACACCTAACCTCTCTGAGCCTGTTTCAGTATTCATAAAATAAAAATGACGTCAGACTCACATATCTATTAGGAGAATCAAACAAGGTATTACAGGCAAGGCATTTAGCATAGTACCTGGTACCTAGTAGACATTCATTACATGTACTGTCTTTCTCTTTCTGCAACTGCAGAAATGCAACACACAAATGCAGTGTGGTGTGGAACACAGAAACTAACTTGATACATGGTAAGGATAAACTAAAACAAAAAAATACAGGTAATATTTGGGGAGTAGTTTCTGGCAGAGGCAGACCATATGCAGCAAAAACACTCTACATTGTTGAAAAAGACTTAAAAGCTTCTATGAGGTGTAGGGTACTGGCCTAGCTGTTGTAACTAAGAAACCCCCAAATATAATGACTCCAAGAAGATGGGAGTTTTCTTTCTCCATGTAATAACCCAGAAGTAAACTGCTCACAGCTGACATCATCAACACAGGATTTCCATCTTTGGCTCCAGTGGGCTTGCTTTGGATCCTGACATCATTTAGGTGGCCGGAGGGGGATAAAGGCCAGGGGAGGGGAGGAAAGACATTTCTTTTCAGGACACGACTCAGGAATGACACAGCTTATGCTCACCCATTGTGACCAAATCCACACAGTAAAGATGCCAAGAGAGGTACCCTTGAGCTGGCAGGACATATTCTCAGCTAAAACACAGGAGTGCTGTTGTTAGAGGCGGGATTATGGACGTTGCTGAACAGGTAGCCATCCCAGCCACATACCCGCCTCCTGTTTTCTCTAGTCTACTATTTCAGGCTTGCAAACAAAACAAAACAAAGCAAAACGAAACAAGCTAACACAATCCCCAAAATATAAACTCACTTTCCTGCTTGTTAATTTATTCAATAAATATTTATAGACTGTTTACTATGTGCTAGGCACTATTTGAAACACTGAAAATTCAGCGGGACTGCAAAACAGATCAGGTTCCTGATCCCAGCAAGCTGTATTCAATAGGGAGAGAAAGTAAACAAACGAAAAACAGAAAAAACAGTAGATACGAATAAGTGCAAAGATGAAAATCAAGGCAATGAGGACGTGAGTGACTGGGCGGCTCCTCCCACTGGGCGGTTAGGGAAGCCCCCGCTAAGGAAACGATGGATCAGCCGAGGCCTGGATGATGGAGCAGTGAGCCATTGGAAGAGCTGGTAGCAGAAGATGCCTGCAAGGGAAACTGCCAGGGCAAAGGGCCCGATGTGGGGGAAGATCTTGGAGGGTTTGTGGCATGACAGGCTAGTTTGGCTGGAGTTACTGAAAGAGGGAGAAAGAATATTAAGAGGGAGAGAAGGGACCAGGAAGGCAGCTGGGAGCAGGCTCACAGAAGGCTTCGCTAGCCAGGGGCACTTAGTTCTCTGGCATTTCCCAGCACTGATTGCAGTGTACACAAAAAGTAGGCACCCGGTGAGTGTTTGATGAATGGACAAACTAAAAGATAAAGACCTGGGGCTGTTGACACTCACAGCTTTCCTTTGCTTTCCTTGGCAAAGATTAGGCTTAACTCTTATTGCTCAGAACCTCAAGACCTCTTTCTCCTTGCAAGGTTGTTCTTAGTGTCCTTGGTAGCCCAGTGTCCCCTGTTTAAAATGGCCTTAGGGAAAGAATTTGAGAAAAAGACAGCTAGCTGAAGAAGATGATCACATCTCCTCTTTGGCTTTGTCTACTTCGTTCAATGGCTCCTGTTCTGATTTCTATCCACATGGTTTAACAGGCACCAGCCCGCCACTCTTGGTTAGGGCTAAGGTTGAAGAGGCAGTGGAACAATGGGGGGTAATTAAGACTGCGGCCTTTAGAGCCAGACTGCCCGAGTAAGGTACCTACCCTTCGTGCCCATCAGTTGGCGTCTCTGTGAAATGGGGAACCACAATGGTTCATGACTGCAGTATTGAAAGCTTTGAAACTAAGATTTTTAGTAACTCACTTGAGAGCAACACCTGTCCTGAGTTAATCTGAAACTGTTTGGAAGGAAAACTTGACCTGAAACTACTTATAATCATTACTTATTCCACTTTTTAAATATTAGTACATTTTGTTGATTAAAAGATAGCTGCAGACCCTTCCAGGGGAGTTAATTTATAATATAATTTATAATGGGCCATACTTCTTAAAATCTGAAAAATTTTGAATTCCAAAAACACTGAGCTTCAAGAATTTGGATAAGGGACTGTGAACCATTACTGTGCTTTCTAAAACATGGCAGCTAGAGAGAATATGAGCTGGCAGTTGTGGTCGACGTGCCAGCTCAAAGCTAAATGGGGCGTGAGAAGGTGCCAGGATGTCATAGAGTCATCCCCCAAACTTGCATTTCACCCTGGTGGGTGACATGGTAAAATGTGGCTCAAATGATATAGTTAGGAGGATTTTCTAAGCCTCACAGGAGTGTTTTTGTGGGGAGATCTTACGGTGCTCTGGCTCTGGCCACTCTCCAGCCAATGGTTTCAGAGGTGATTTCTGACACATGGGGGTTCTTTTGAGTCATGGCTCTGCATGGTGAAAACTTGGGCAGGTCACTCACTGCTCCTGAACTTCAGTTTTCATCTCTATAAAACAAGTTAAGACTGAGGACCTCTGTGATGACTTCCTGCTCCAACTTGTTGGATTCTCCTTGCCTTTTGAGCATCACAGTTTCAGAGCACTCCAGGCCTTTACCTGGAAAGTATGGAGCCAGGAAAAGTGAAACTTGAAGAGCCGGTGGGATTGGTGTACTTACGTTGCTGTAGCAAAGTACCCCAGGCTGGGTGGCTTAAACAAGAGAAACGCATTGCCTCACAGTCCTGAAGGCTGGAAGTCCACGATCAAGGTATCAGCAGGGCTTGTTCCTCCTTAGGGCTGCAAGGGAAAACCTGTCCCAGGCCCCTCTTCTAGCTTCTGGTGGTTTTCGGGCAATCTTTGGCCTTCCTTGGCTTGAAGATGCATCACCTAGTGTCTGCCTCCATCTTCATGTGGCGTTCCCCCTGTGCGTGTCCAAATTCCCTGTCTGTGACACCAGTTACATTGGATTAGGGTCCCTCCTAATGACCTCACTTCAACTTTATTACCTCTGTAAATACCTATTTCTGAATGATGTCACATTCTGAGGTACTCGCGATTAGGACCTCAACATATCTTTTCCGGAGGATACAATTCAACCCATAATACCGGTTGTAATGCTTGGCTAAATATCTCTGCATGGAAGAAGTGGAAAAAGTGAACTAAAAATAGGTTTTGGTTTTTTAAAATCAGGTTGTATTTTTATGGAATACTCAAAGGTGAGTTTATCAGCTGTTATGAGATTTGAGATGTGCTCTCCCGACACCTGATTCTCTCAAAGGAAACATAATACATTCCTTTCTTTCGTCTCCTTCTTGTTTGCTTGTTCCCTCCATTCTTTTGGTTTCTAACTCCAGTTGTACTAAATCTTACTGTATTCCTTTCCACTCTTCCTATCTGGGTCTTGCAAAATAAAGAACAATCCGTTCTTTATTCTCTGGTTCACCTTCTAGAGGAAAAATGCAGCCAACATCCTTGCTGAATCATTATTTCTGCTTTCAAAGCCTCCTTTCTTCCTCTCTGCTTTTCCAGGAACCCATAGAAATCTTGGGGCTGAATGAGCCCTGAGGTTTTTCTAAGCCCCTAACTGACTTGGATCTCTTGTACAACAGCCTGCCACGTTTTTGTTTTTGTGTTTTTTTTTTAAAGAAATGGTCTTGCTCTGTCACCCAGGCTGCAGTGCAGCAGCATGATCGTTGCTCACTGCAGCCTTGACCTCCTACCTCAGCCTCTCAAGGAGCTGGGACTATAGGCATGCACTACCACACCCAGCCAATTTTTAAATTTTTTGTAGAGTTAGGGGTATCGCTAGGTTGACTAGGCTGATCTCAAACTCCTGAACTCAAGTAATCCTTTTGCCTCGGCCTCCCAAAGTACTGCAATTACAGGTGTGAGCCACCACACCCAGCTGTCTGCTGCATTTTTAAGCCATCTCTGCATGACCATTTCACCACTTCTGAGGTATACGATTGATGACTATAAGCATTAGGCAGAACTTTGTTAGGTTAAAATCCATGTCCCCATTCCGTCACTTCTGAGCTCCCTGGAGCATGACAGAGCAAAGCCACTGCGTCTTCCGAGAGGCAGCCCCAGGAAGTAACACCAGCTACTTAGCTCCAGGCTCCTTTTAACATTGGAGAGACAGACTTCTCTGGAACTCCTAGTTATTAAGCCAGTCAACTTCAGGGTCTGTAACTAACTAGTAGAGTGATATAGGCTGTTTTACTTGAGTCACAGGTAAAAGGCTTGAATTTCAAGTGCCTGCTCTCTCAATTACTACATTAACTTTTCGGAATCTCAGTCTGTTGATCCACAGAATGAAGACCATAGTACTTGGGCTCATTCTTCATAGGATTGCTATGAGAGCAAATAAGATAATGTTTGTGAAAGTGGTTTGTCACTACTACTGTTACTGCTATTGCTGCCGCACTGGGGACTCCTGTTAAGATAGGACGTGTATAAGAACATTCTCGCTGCAAGTTGCCTTGAGCTTCTAGGAGGTGACTGGGGGCAGGATGTTGTGGGA